GGTGCTGAGTTCGTTTCGAATGTGATCGCTCCCTACCTCGCCCACCAAAAACTTACGGCCACCAGCAGGTGATGGTGGAGAGACGCTCCTGGTGCTCGCTCCCGTTGACAGTCCCTCTTCTCTGCCTCCGATCGGCGCGCCATTGGCCCGCGATACACCTTCCAGCTCCATCTCTGGCGAATCCAATTTGTTAAAATAAATGCCCAGATTGAATTTTATTTTATTTTTCAACCAGGCGAAATGAGCAAGCGGGGCTGTCTGCTATTAGCAATCTCTGTTCCTGATGATGGCCCACGTGGCCATGTTGCGTACGAGGAACGAGGCTAGCATGAACTGGTTGGGGCTCACCTCTCGGACGGTGCCCTCTGTTGCGAGGAACTTGCACATCCAGAGGTCCTCCTCCGTCACAGCGGCGACCACGGGGAGGTGGTCGGGAGGAGTTGGGTCCTGCAGCAGGAAGTTGTTGGTCAGATAGTGGTGGGCAGAGCGAGTGTGGACTGTGCTCCGTTTTATTGGAGCAGGTGGGGAAACACGTGTTCTTTGTCGTCGGACTCCGACGGGAAAATTCCGTCGCACGCCGAGGGCAGCTCAGCCCGTGAGAAGGTGACCCTTCTCACACAACACGCCCCGTGAGCGAACTCGGCGGGTAGGACAACCGGAGGAGGTTGCAGAGGGCTTCGGTGCGATCGCGAGAGAGCGGCTTCGTCAGGAGGTCGGCCGGCATCGTTGCGGTCGGTTCGTATTGGATGAGCGCCCCGTGGCGTTGGACTTGGTCGCGTAGGAACGCAAGCTTGATCGCGTAGTGCTTCGATCGCTGAACGTGCTCGCCGGGCTTCGAGTTGATGATTGTGAGCGCGCCTTGATTGTCCGTGCGGAGTTCGATCGGGCAATCAAGCTTGGGCAGCAGCTCGTGGCACAGGTCGTGCAGGTGGATTGCCTCCTTGAGCGTCTCAGCCAGAGCGTTGAGCTCGGCCTCTGTAGTAGACGTCGCAACGCATTTCTGCATGCGCGAGCCCCAACGGATCGGCCCGCCGGCGAGGATGAAGACGA